ATTATTATTATTATTATTATTATTATTATTATTATTATTATTGTTTGCAGCAGCAGGATGGGGATAGATGGAGAGGAGTAGGGGGAATCCTTTTTTTTTTTTTTTTTTGTGGGGTCATAGGGAATAGTGCCTATATGGAGCGGCCATTAGGCGAGAGGCGAGGCACATCCAGGACAGGTCATATTGTTTTTAGTAGTAATAGTAATCTTGTTTGTCTTCTTTACTTCATAATAAACACAAACAGTATGAACTATGTGCAATTCTTTAACACAAGTGTAGACAACAAGTATGATGTTCTGTAGTGTGAAGAAATAAGCAAATAAGTGAAAAAAAAAAAACAAGTTTAAAATGAGTGTCAGGCACTCAGGAGGAAGCTCTGCACAGGTTTTAATAAGCAAAGCAACTTATATGACAGGCAGCCCCAGTAAAAGCCCAACACATCCTTCTTAACAGCCAGAGCTCTTGTTTCTCATAAAGTGGCGAAGCGTGTCTGTGTCAGCAGGACAAACAGCTGTGATAGGGACATGTTTTAGAGCTGCATCATTACAGGCATCTCCGAGCCAATCGAGGGCAGCGTGATAGAAATTCTCCCAACCTTTCCACTGGATCCCTGAGCATAACGATGAAGCGGGCCTCCGGCTGTAGGGCATGGATGAAGTCCTGGATGAGAAACGGCGGCTCTCCCTCTGTGGTGTTGTCATAGAAATACACCCAGGCGTTGTTATCCCACATGGTGGAGGCGCTCGCTTCTCCTGCGAGAAAACACCAAAAGTGGTCGAAATGAAGGACGAGCGCAATCAGAGTCTTAAAGCAAAACACATACGGAAACACGTTGCTGCTGCTTTTATAATAGTTTCAGAGACTCACATTTCATGTTTACGTTTTTGGGGATTTTCTTTTAAGAAATAATTCCAAACTTGCTGTGGCTTGCACCACCCTTTAGGTCTCTGCGCTCCATATGGTTGTTCTTGTCGTGAAATTAAACCAACCGCATGTTTTAAAGGGTTTCGAGCAGACCGTATTAAATGCAGATGTCAGTTAGGTTACGGTGGATATAGCCTTCATGCGCCTTCATTTCTGCTTCAAAGGTTATTTGGACGTAAAGCTGAGGGTACATGAAACATAAATGTCACTAATTATGTCTCTCTACTTCACAATTTTAAATTGGAAGAGGAGAAAAATATTTTTAACATATCTGTTTAGGTCAGAGCTCAGCCTCAGCAGAAAATATGCAACTGTTACATACTACGTGTCCATATTTTCAGAGTCTTGTGCATGGATGCTTTCAGATGACTATGCTAATGGCTGATGGGAGTTTTCTTTTCTTTATTGTTTTGATGGTTGAGGAGTTATAATTCATGTAAATTAAGAGACATTCAGAACAAGCCTTGCATTTCAAAGCCAACTGAAGGCAGTGTGACAGGTACTCTAATTTACAACCAGAGATGTGCTGAGAATTTGAATTGGGAGCAGAAACTGGACCGTTTTCAACACAATCAGACCTGTTTGGTGATCAGAAACTAAGAAATTCAAACGTTTCCAATCAGTGAAAGGACCACAGCAAGCAGTGTGTATCTGTTGTGAATGTGGGTGTGTGTGCATGTGTACTTTTCAGATTTTTACTGTAAAAAAAACAACAAAAAAAAAGTAAAAACAATGAATTCTTGCCCTTACAGTTCACACTACTTTGTAACAAAAAATCCAAATTAAATACATTGAACTTAGTTCAAGGCATGTCCCCTCACAAATCAAAGACCGTATATAAAACACTAAGTTTGATCAAGTTCCATATACAGTGTGTAATTGCAAACAAAGGCTACTGTACCAAATATTGACATTTATTTTCACAAGTATTCAAATACGTATTTTCAGCAGTAACACACAAATAAGCTATTTAAAAAAAAATCATACATTGTGATTTCTAAAATTTTCTCTCTCTTTTTTTTTTTTTTTTTAAAGAGTATGTCTCACAGTGGACATGGACCTAAGACGGAAATTTCAGACCCCTCCAAGACTTCTAACTTGCAAAGTCGCAGGGTGTTCCAATACTCGTTTTTCCTCACTGTACTCCTTTAAACTAAACCTGCAAATAGCAAGCACTAAAAATTCTCTTTGCTCTAGTATCATGTTCGTAAAGGCACACAAGCAAACAAGTAGGCAGCATAATTGTAGGCGTCATAATTGCATCTTTGGTGGTAAAGAGAAACTGCAGCGTGACTGCTGTCAACACAATGACACTCGTGGTACTCATATCAAGTCAAACGACGTCATTTCTCAAACAATTTGAGCCTAGCAACTTTTATTAGGCTGCACTGAGAAACATATTCAGGATTCATTAGGCTGTCTGCCTTCATTCTGCTAAGTGAAGCCTTATCTCTCTCTCTCTCTTTCTCTTTCTCCCTCAGAGAAAGAGACTTATTTTCTGTGCTGACAACGGTGAATGTGAAACTGGATCGGTACTTAATGCCGTTATGTCTGAAATGATACAGACTGTGATCTTGTCTATTTTAAGGACCCCGTGTCAGCTAAAGAGGGTTTATTTTGCTCCGGGTAAACAAGTGAAGGACCCAGACCGTCGTTCCTGTGGTTCCCCAACCTGACCGTCGGCGGAGGAGAATCGAAGAGCAAAGATCCTGGCCGCAGGCCTGCACCTTGCTGGGCTCTCCCGGAGCACTGAGTGAATACCGAGTGGGCTTTTGGCACGCTCCCCCACCACGTTACAAGGATTACTTATTTAAAGAGGGAAACAAAGCAGCACGGCACGCTGAGCTCAACTCTGTGCAGTGTGAAAAGGCTATTGTCGAAACGTTAAATCAGTTTTCCTTCCCAGCTGAGTCGTTTCTTTGACACAGTGTTTGGACGATGGGAAAAGGCAGGAACAGATAGGAGCAGTGCAGCTGGAAACAGGATATGTTGATAGAGGAAGGAGGTTTGTAGGCTTCTCCACCCTGCTGTGGATATTAACACAAAAAAAAAAACAATGATTTCTTTATAAAGCACTCCAGTGAAGAGGCTAACTGAGGCAGAAGGACGTCTAGCATTAGAAAGATGTTAGAGGGTCTCTTTAGAGCTGAGTCACCGGCTTTCTTTTAAAAAGAAAAAAAAAAAATTACACTCCTTTGCTGAAGTGGCTCCCGCAGAGCAGCCTCACTACTTGCAGCCTCTGAAATATAAGATTACAAGTGAAGTTGCAGGACGCTGACAAATGCCAAAAACGCTCCTGGGTGCAACTTGACTGGCGGTGCAGGATACTGCTGGGGCACTTTCACACACATATCAGAGCGCTGCTACATGACCTGAGTAACCAATATGAAGTAAGCCAGGGAGGGGAGCTGGCGGCGACACAGAGCGATGTTCTGACAAGGAAAAAAAACAAAAAACAGGAAGGCAGAAGATTAAGCTTAGCAGGAAATGTTTGTGGTACTAAAACTTCCTGCAGATCTGATTAGCGGTGTCTCAGGCGTCGTGTGGCGCGCTATCATTTGTATCTTGTACTCTCAGATCTCTGCTGGCGAATCATTCTTAAGATGCTCGTTGCACAACAGACCGATGAGTAGACCAAAAGTGATAAGCAGCTTCCTGGCACTTGATTCGCGGAGTTTAAAGCGCATGTTTGGTTTGCCTAAACAAAGTGAGAAGCAGGATGTTTGGATCTGGTTTACGCTTCATCAGAGATCAAGATATGAAGTTTATGCAAACTGTTGGCTTTTTGTGTCACACAAAGAGCACACAGCAGTCTGCTTGCTGTAGACAACAAGGGGCTTATAAAGGTCAACTATTAATGAACCTCTGCAAAACCTGAATAAATGTGTTTTGATGCTCAGCATCCAACATTCTTTAATTATACTCCCTGCACACTGACTCTTGATTGCATTTGTGTATGCAAATTAATAAAATAACAAAACATTTTGTTATTTAATAGCGAGACGTGTCTTTCTTTTCTCATTGTCCTTTTGTATGAAAATCTCTTTGTGTCGAGGTCGAGAGTGGAAACAAAACCAAGTCGGCAGGTTTTGACAAGCTTTCATACGTTGCAAGATCCGAAACTGTAAAGATGCAGCTAGAAACTAACTGATGACTGAAATCACTGGGCTTTCAGCTCGATCTGCCGCGAACCGGCGCGTTGAACATCGAAAAATGTTCCCTTATAGCGACCACGGTTCTGAGGGTAGATGAATCAAAGTTGTCTGTTATAAATTCAGTGAGGTGTTTACAACTCAATCAGAAGAAGCACAGAAAATAAGTTATTTAAAAGAGAGCTGATTCTTGTGCTACAAGAGAGTGAAAGAGCAAGACTTTTTCTGAAGATAACAGGAAGGTTACATGCAGTACAGCAAATGTGTTCCTCTTCATCCTTTTGACTTCTATCTGTCATAGAAAAGACTTGATTTAGAAATGTTGGCAGCTGTTTAGGAAGCTCAGTCAAAGTAAGGATCTGCAGTTTTAAATGTATATGATGATAAATAGACAGTTTAAAATGTTATCAAGTGATTTTTGTTTTGAAAATAGTAAAACCCCTCTTTTGAGTTCCTTCATCATTTTTGTACCACAGTTCTGAAAGAGAAATCAGAAGCAGCTCATAGCTTTACAGACTTTGGAACGTGGAATTTGACTGGAGTAAACCTGGATAAAAGCAACATTTTGGAGTTAAGTTGTCACATGCAGCATCAACCTTGGTAAGAAGATGTGGAAAAACCCCTTTTTATTGCAGTAGCATCTGACATTTCTAGTGTTAGTCAACCTGACAAATAAATAGATTTTTAAAAAACTTGTTTGAATTAAACCTTGTCAAACATATAATTAGTGATCAGTACAAAAAAATACTTTTTATCAACCCAGTGGATTTGTTTTCACAGGATTGAAGACTTTTCATTCAAATCTTTTGTCTATCCTGATGAGAATTGGGCTTCACATTGTTGAATGTCCATTCCTCCATTTCATGTTTGTTTCTGCCCTGAATGCAGCGTGACAACACGACCTTCTTTTTTCAATGTACCCTCACTATTACTTTTATGTCAGTGACCAGTTTATGTTTTTCTACTCAACCTTACTTTATGGTGAAATAACTCTAAAAGCACCAGTTTTTTTATGTATGTACCTTGTTCTGTTCCATTATTTTCAAGTTTTGCAAGCAACACTGACAAACTATTTTCAATAAATTTCACAGTTTAAGGGTTTCTACTTAAACTGTGAAATTTAAGGACATAGTTATATTTATTTATTGAACCGTGTCCTTAAAACACAGTTAAATAAACACAGTTAAATTCACAGAGGAATTCAAATGACAAAAATCATTTGAATTCCTCTCTCAGACCACAACCCAACTTCCTCCATTATTATTATTGTTATTATTATTATAGTCACAGTTCTGATTAGGGTTGGTGTTGGCTTCTAAATTATGATGTAGGTATTGGCTTCTAAAGTGAACAGATGATGTGACTTACCTATGATGACGTTCGGGTGGCTGGGTGATCCGCTGGTGTTTGCATTTAGCTCGCCCTGGATTTGGTAAGCAGCCTGATCAAACAGGTCAAGATAGTCCTCCACCGGGTACCGATCATGCAAACCCTCACTGAGACGAATGATACCTGAAAAAAAATATACCAAGAAGGATTCATCTCACAGTTTTTCTTAGCAGATGGAAGTTTGTTTACTATTTTATTCAGGGTTCAAACTTGCGGAGTCACAGGAACGCAGACAAAAAGCTGAGTATTTAGCTTTACTTGCTATGTTTTTGCTATGTTTCCCAAAGTAGTGTGCCACTACCCTTTCACAAAAATGCATTACTATTCATCAAAAATAGGTTACCGTAATATAGTACCTAGCAGGATGGTCATATATCAGACAGTGGACCTAGTAAGACAAACATCCAAAACTACCTGGTACCAGTGCTGAAGCGCCAAGGCGCCAAGGCGGAGCTTTGGGTAAATAGGAGGTGCATTGTTTTATTAAGGCGTGTTTGCTCATTGCTGGTAATGGGAAGTGAACTACATCAGCAGGGGCCTCAGCTGAACCCCTTTTATTAGTTCTTGCCATTCTAGTTGGTATTAATTCCTGCTGTGAGGACCAGTGCTTGTTTGCAACACAAGATGTGAAATTTATTCTTATCTCATATTCGCGATCAACTCTGAGCATTCTCAAATCTGACCTCAGTTTAGAAGTGGGAGATTTTTTTCTTCTCCATTGGTTAATGTTTCCAGTTAAAGCCCAGTGTCCAATTAATGCTTTTAAAGCAAAATGTGTTTTCCATCTGAGCTGTGGCTGGGCACGGAATAATTACAGTGATTAAAATTCACTATGCTATTGTAGTTGCTTGGTAAATGTCTTTGCAGCATGTATGCAGGATTAGAAAAATGAGGTAAGTCAAACAAATGTTTCTTTTAATGACGCTTTAGTGCAAAAGGCTCCAACAGCAAGTCAGTATCAATATTCGTTTAGAAAATTCGCATTTAAATCAGGTGCAACAGCTCTGGTATGGATCTGCCATCCGCTTTTTTTTTTTTTTTTGAATTGAAATTAAATGTCAAGCACTTGCGTTGTATTTCATGACTTCTGCCGCATAAGGCAGACACATTTGCTTAAGATTCAGGCTGCTCGTCCAAGAAAGCTATGTGGCACATATCACATCAGTTCACCATTTCTATGTATCAGGCTCGTAGCGCCCCAAGGGGGAACGAAATAAATAAATACAAAACAAGGCCATTTGAATTCAGAGTGTCCTCAGAGGGTGCCTAAGGAGAAAAGTGCTGATTACCACCACCTGCCCTGGAGTACATGTCTGGAAGGGATAAAGAGTGGGTGACAGAAAGCATGAACGCCAAAAGGGAACGAAGTGGGACATTAACCTATCGCAGAAATGCAGCCGCACCACTGCGAGCTCCAGAAAAACAACCATGAGGCAAATAACTAATCTGGAGATAATCATCAACTCCAAACTAAACACATCATATTAAAGTAAGCACTGCTTGCAGAATAAACAATCTGGCAATTAGGTTCTTGGAATGTCAGAGGGATTAAGCTCAGAATCTGGATCGACTTCAAAGGAACTGCTTTGGCTGTAACAGGCAGCCATCTTTTGATATTTGTGATTACAATTTGGGGGAATGTTCTTTAAAGAAACAACCAGCACTGCTGGTTATATGCTAATAAGAATAACAGAGCGACGATTCGTATGCAGAGAAAAGAAATGGTGCGTGTTAGTTATAGCTGGAAGAGGGAAAAAAAAAATGACCCAGGTTCAGTGTAAGAAGCGGTCTTGACAGCGTAGTACTCACAATCACACTGTGAAAGAATAGCTGCTGATCATCAGTGAAAATTGACTGCATGTTTTTGTATAACCAACTTAATCTGAAGCCATTATCTAATCTTTGTTTGATTTTGCAATCAGGGGTGACTATAAAAGAGCACTTAACCGAGAGGGAGATCAGTGCCCTTCAGCTTCGCTGCCCTCTTTTCATTTCCCTATAAGAAACATTCTTTAAAAATGCAAACATTATTAGCCCACACACACTGACTCACTGCACTAAAGTCTGTCTCTGGAGCTCGTGAAGCTTTCCATTATTCATAAGCTCTGAGTGTTTCAGTTGGAATGGAATGGGAAAAAAAATACATGCATTAAGTGTAGTATGATGTCTTGCCTCTTTTATTACAGAAAAAAAATCTTTGCCACGTTAGACATAATCAGGTCAAGGTCTTATCATAAATCACATCTAAAAAAATGTTTAGATGAGTGTGGAAAAGGAACTCAATTTAAAAACAATCAAAACTCAAAAATAACCCAAAATGTCCTCCTAATGAATATGTGGTCTCACTGCTAAGCAGTGTCCCATTGTTGATTTCAATTTCTACATAGGTTTAAAAAAAAAAGATCATGATTTTAAAATCTGCTACAACATTATTGCTTAATTGTACCACTTGTTTTAGTAAAACAAATGGATATAAGTTTAAAGAACTGTATTTAAAGTATTTTTGTTGTGCAAAAAAAGTGCAAAAGATAAAAAAAAAACACTTTGCTGCATCTTAACTTTAAAGGGGCAGTATTGTGTGTTTTCCAGTCACATAGCGTAGCATGCTTAAACAACTCCGTTCCTTGAAGGCAGGCTGTCCAAGAGTTTTGCACAGCTGAATGACTGCTATGGGAGATTAAAGGATTCCTCAAACACGCACGAAAGAAGAAACAAAGCGACACTCCTGGTATATTTTTGACGAGACAACAACTTTATGAGATGATGTAAAGCTGAAACATTTTTTAAATATTAGCTCACCCTTCATTTTGCGGCTCCAAATTAGTCAGATTGCGAGGGTGTAGAACCATTATGTGCTGATGCTAAAACTGTAAGTCTTTTGTCCTGTGTGTAGTTCAGCTTTGCACATCAGAAGACTAAACTTTAGCTTGAGCTAAGTTACACTCTCACTTCTACACAGGCCTGACAGTTGTCTGGTCAGCATTTTCCTCAACCTGTGCTATGATTGTCCCCCTCAGAGCCATCATGGGCCTCTTGGCTTTATCACTGACTCACATTCGAGTCAGAATTTTAACGTGACTGTCTCTCAAACATTTCTTCATTGTCTCTGTGCTATGATTTGCAGACCCAGATGTAGTTCCATGCTTTTTTTTTTTTCCTATTTTCTGTGTAATGGTTCAACCACGGTGTGAATGAATAATTTTTCTTTAAAGCTGCTACATGTTGGTATGGATACATGGAGGACTGAGCTTATGCAAGAATGCATTCACATGCTCTTATAGTGAAAGTGTGGAGTAGATTATTTGTCTAAGTTCCTCAATGTTCAGTTTGTGCTGAGATAAAAACACGAAAACGGAACCTGAGAAACTCTAAGAATTTTCTTCTACTTCTTTTTTGAAGGCATGTCACAATAAAAATCTCAATGACATACACTGACGTTTGTGGCTGCTAAGCATAGAACAAGTTGCTGGTGTTGACCAGGCTAGTGCGGGTACGGGATGGATTTATGTGTATTTCTCCAAATTTTTCACAAATTGTCTACCTCCTTTTATATGGTCAGGACATAGTGACAATTTTAGCATATGTGTAAAAAATATATTTTTATAAAGTTTACCGACTGTAGCTTTAAATCTCTTCTATGATGGCGCAGTATTGCTTTCAACATCGCAGATGCCTTTGCAGCAGAATAAAAAAAAGAACACGACGGCGCCACGCTTTCCGACAACAGAACCGACACATGCGACCAGATGTCTGCTGTGAGGCAGCTCCTACTCCTCGGCACTCTGTGTTTGTCTCTTTGTTAGAGTGAATGACTTTGTTTGCCACCTGTTCAAACTCAGCTGAACGCCAAGTCAGAGCGGTGGCATCAGCAGGTTGCTCATGCTTCACAATTCTGACAAAAACAAACCAATTATTGACTCATACTGTTTAAGTTTCAACAAGTTAAATGAGCAAATATTTCCACGACGTCTCACTCTGACGTGCTGCACGTAAGATATATTTATGCAGCAGTGGTATTATTAAATAAATAATTCGCTGTCTAATTGGAAAATGCGTCATTGCGCAATTAGCCGTTTGAATAAGAGAGAAATACACGCGGGGACGGAAATTAGAATGAACTAAAGATGCAAAATAAGCAACCACTAAATGCTGAGATAAGAAATGTGTTGAAGAGGCAGGATGTGAGAAACGAGTGCAACAGTGAGCGCTGAAGTAGTGCAAGTGCAGGGTCAGTTGGTTGTGTGGCTTCAAAGCGTGCCAAAGCTTCACACTGAATATGTTTCTGACATATTCAGATGTCACGGTTTCAACGACAGTCACTCATCTATGTTCAAGGGAAACGCAGCATAAGTCTAGATTCATCTAAATTCGTCTAAATTCTTCGGGGTGAAGCTGTAACTTCACTCTGAAGTTAAAGTACATATGTATATATATCATGTTGCATCATGGAGGGTGAGCGATACCACAAAGTGATGCAGGGGTAAATAATGTAGGGAGGAGAGAGATGCGTGTTTTCTAGCTGGAAACACACGACTTTGTGTCAGCTAAAGATGAAAATGTCTCGGTTCGTTGTGTCCTGCGTGCTGGTGAATTACTGCTATTGTGACACCCTTGAAAATAGGGGAGACAGAAAAACCAGTGTGATTTTCTGTCCTTTGCTCATGCAGCCGTTTAATGCAACGAGGAGAGAGCATGAAAGTCCCCCGGTGGAGGATAAAGCCACTACCGGTCAATCCCAGAACAGGCTCACGTAGCTGAGTGCATATGTAGAGGTCACAATTTCCTTGAATGAAATTGACACAGACATAAATACAACGTGAAAAATAACTTTTCAACAATTGGTTTCCTGTATTTCTATTAATTTTAGGCTTTTTTCAACTAATATAAATATTCATTGATGTATAGGGTCAATGAATATTGATATAAGATTTAAAATTGTTACTGTCCATTTTAAATCTTTTGTTTTTACTGTCAATTCTTTTAGTATGAAAACAATTTAGAAAGATTTTGTTTTTTACTGCACTGGTACAAAACTGACAGAGCAAGTTCCACCAGGTGTTGCAAAAGTAGAAAGTTGCAAATAAAATGCCAGAGGTGCTCTACCACCCAAACTACAAAAGCTGGACTTCTGTGCAAAACCAGTAAGCGGGGGATTGTTGAAGAAGCTGGTCGGACGTAGAGGAAGAAATACTGCCCACAAACACGGTTAACTCTCCCTGGTTGTCATTTTTATTTTGAGGCAGCAGCGACTGTTGTTGGCAGCTTCTGAAAACAATTAAACTTGCAACATAACTTAGTTACTTTAAATCAAGTAAATCGGAAAAGCAACTCAGTTTGGTTTTCAAGGAGTAATCAGTAATCAGTAATCACAAATCAAGTTACTTTTTAAAGGTAACTTGAAAAAGTAACTATAACTTGTGCGGCACACAAATGTGTCCATTGTGAAAAAGAGGCAAGAATTTTGAACTGTTGAAAGAAAGCCAAAATTCCCAGCTGCAGATTGCCACAAGCCATTTAGAGGACACTGACGGGATGCATGTTACAGAAGGTGCTCTGATTAAGTGACAATAAATTTGCATTGACAGGGCCTCTCCATTCAATCTGACTGATCTTGAGCTATTATGTAAACAAGAAGGAGAAAAATTATCCAGATGTGAAAGGCCATGCTATAAAGTATAAGCTCACAAATGATCATCTTCAACTATCCAACTATGTACTACTTTGTGCAACTTTTGGATGTAAAAAAAAAAAAATCTCAAACAAGATTTCTGTTACACTGCACAGAGGAGGACTAACACATTCTAACTCTCTAAAGGAAAAGGTTTCTTGAACATTTTTAGTATGCTGGATGCCGTCTGGAGAAAGGAAAGATCGTAACAAGTTAGTTCACAATACTGCAGCTACTAGAGAGGCACAGCTTTTAAGATGTATTCACAATCTCAGATGCATATCCATCCCTTTTCTATATCCGCCTAATGCTTGCAGGGACCCAACCAGCTGGTGCCTATCTGTGGCAGTCAGAAAAGAGAAGCAAGGTACAACCTGGACCTCCATGTCATTTTAAAGTGGCCAATTACCATGAATGCATGTTTTTGAACAGTTGGAGGAAACTAGAGAACGTAGGGAAGAATCTGCACATGCATTTCGACAACGTAACACATGAAGGCAGATGGCTTTGATTCAAATCCAGGAAATTCTTGCTTAAAGCAATTCTGCAAAATTAGTGCTAAACGATCATCCACCGTGCAGTCTCTGAATTCAAACATGGATGAAAATGGGTTTTACCTGATGGCAAAGTGAAGAAGCAGACAAAGAGCTGGCAATTATATAACTCATTAGTTGAGTTTATGAAGAGGCCCTGTTAATGCAAATGAAGGTACACTAAAACAAATCTCAAAAGAAACATGGTTGTTTCTGGTCAGGGCTAAGAGTGATTTATTTGTCTAACTATTTCTCGATGCTTTTCGCCCCCACACTGAAACTCCATCATCCTGCAAAATGCAACATTTAGTCAGAAGAACTTACCTATTGAGTAAGACTTTTATAATTATCAAATTATTTAACTCAGAGTATTAAGGATTACGGCGATTATGCTTGGTGCTCAAACTTTTCTATTCACTTGTATGTAAAAAGCTACCTGAAACCAAACCAAGTCATAATCAATTTCAAATTAAATCGGCTACACCAACCATGAACCAAACAAAGTGCAGCAGATACTGAGTGCAGCAGAAAGTTTGCTATTTTAAGAACAAATTAGAAAGCACGTAACAAGTAAACGATCCTATAAAGAAACCTATATTTTTTTTACTGAGTCTGTTCAGGTGCTCATTCAGGTTGCTACAACAGGAAGCTTGAGCATGTTTTCTATTTAAAAGTGCAAAAAACAGCAGCAATGGGTTGTTTTCCAAAATACATATCTTCGTTTTTTTACTATCCTACTATCATTTTGGAGTAAAGCTAAACATCACTGAGAGTAAAAGAGAGGCAGCACATTTGAAACAACCCCTTTCACTGGGATTTCTACAACTCTTTTGTTGTTGCTCAAAAAATATCAATGAACCATGCTATTAGGACTTACTCAGCAGCTTGAGGGACACAGCTACATTCAGGACAATTAATGCAGATACCATCCACTGATGGGCTTATTGATCATCCGATGACCACACTCTCTTATTCATTAGACTTTTCAATTTAAAAAAAAAAGTGCTTCATCACAAAAGTCTCAGCACAGTCCAATATAATTAAAACTAACAATTACTCGAATCGGGGTGTGATTGTGAATCGCACAACAATGAGAATATTCAGGATGCTAAAACACGGTGGGACCTTCTGCATCCCCATGTGAGAGAATAACAGAATCATTAGAGACCTGCGAGACATTAAGTGTTTAATCAGGGTTTTCAGAACAAGTTTATCTTTTATATAAACTGAAGTAGATACTGTGGAAGTGCAGCTGTTCTCCAGATGTTTTTATAACTTACTTTTGATCGCTTAGGATAAATCAGTCACTGCCTCCGTCTGTTCCCGTACATGAAAGTTGAACTTGTTTTGCTCATACGTTTTCTACAAGTTTATCCTAAATTCAGGCTTGATGTAGATCAAATTACACCAAAAACATTAACAACGTTTCAACCTCGATTAGACGTCAAGAGACACCTTCTTGTACTTATTAACTTTCACTTTTCACTGTTTGACTACTGCAAACTACATCGCTTAACTCACACTGTGCTTTGCAGACCCTTTCACTCGCCATGAGTTGGTTAAAGCTGAAAACGAAAGCTAAGCAACTCACTTGCTGTCTGATTAATTAAGGTTAATATTTCCACGTGGAGGCATTCATAGACCAATGAAATTTTATTCCTAAATCATCAGTTAATCCTTAGTATGAAATAAAATAAACCAATCTACCAAGTCTTGACACAACAGCACATTGTAAATTCCACCTATTGACATCCAATATACATAAACTTCATTTCATACAACTGACTATTTAAGTTTTGGAATAATCCTTTCAGCATGCCTGTCAGTGGAGAGTTTTTGGTCAAATTAAAGCAATGAAATCAAAGGAGACATATACTTGGAACAGAAATACAGTATCCAGCAAATGGTTTATTTTTACTCACATGTGGATCGCTCCTCATCAGTGCTTTGCGGTCAGGGCATTGTCGTTGGGTCCGAAACTCCACCTTGGATTTGATGGATTTCACCACCAGTTTTATATGTGCATAGTCCCCCACTGACGTGAGGTTAAAGGCAAAGGGTCCGGGACTGACCAAGCCGTTGAGGTGGTAAGGGGACGGCGTAAGGAGAAGGCCCTTCTTGTCCCCTGTCAAAACGTACGATGCCATTATGAGGAACATGATGGCTAGGACGAACAGGAAGCCGTACAGGCGGATCTTGCATCCGACAGTGCTTGAGCGTCTCGTTAGGTCGCGTTTCACTTCCAGAACCGCAAACAAGTTCATGGGTGTGTTGTCCACCTGCAGGAGCAGCGGCCTCTTGTGGTAATCATCCACAGTGGAGCCAAGCAGGCTGTACTTGTAGTCCATCTGTGTCATGGTGTCCAGAGCAACTATGCCCAGTGTTAGAGCTCAACGACATAAGCAGCAGCCATTCATATGCCACAGTTTGGAATGGGAAAATGTCCATAAACTGATATCCATGATGGTTGGTGGAGATCCGCCCACCTCCTCTACTGACACCTGCCAAATAAAAATAGCAGAAGTTTAACTGAGAGACAAAACCAAATGCCATAGCAACAATTATTACACTAAGTGCAGAAATAGAATTACAAGATTACCATTTAAAAAGGAAATAGAGTTACTCTAATGGTTGAGTGTCAGGCTCAGTGTTTGGTACAAAAACCATGAGATGCGAGTTTGAAACGAAAACAATTGACTTCCTCTTAAGCTTCCTCTTGGTGCTGCACAGCACAGCCTCACGGCTCTACCCACCCGTCCTCTCTGTGCATCAAAGTCACAATATGGAGGCAGTGATAAGGACAAACTTCTTAGGAATAAATTCAGACTGTGAACTACAAGGCCGCATGTTGGACTCTCACAGCGAGGGACAAAAATATCAAAGATACGCAGCCTGACCTGCAGAGGGGATTTATATTATCAGAAAATAGTTTCTTCTCTATGAACTCACACAGAAGAACAAGTCACACACTGATAAAAAAGGAGGGCCAGAGTTGAGAGGATAAAAGTATTGAGAATTTTGATAATAATGTTCTTGCGGTACCACATCACCATTTATCCTTGAGCCTTTGATTTGTGTCTGAAGCTGAGTTCACATGACTTGGCGTAAATAGGATGTAGCATGATGACAAAAAGCCCACAGAGGTAAAGCCTAGCACATGTTTCAAAAGACAGAACAGCCCTGCTTCCCTCTGGCGATGTTTCATGCATTCACACTCGCAGCTGCATGTGTATCTCCATGTTGCTGATGTACGGCACACCTGCAGCCAACTCCGGCACGCTTATATCATCAGACACAAGCAGAGTGGAAGTGAGTCATCAATCCTTCTCACAGCTGCTGATATTGTCTGCTGCACTCCCCATCCCCCACCACCCACCCAGCGCTCACACCTTCAGCACAAATCTGCAGCGCTTGTGGCGCAGCTGATAACGGAACAGAACTGGAGATTTCAGCCTCTTTCTTCAAGCAGTGTCATTTACCCCCAGCCGAGCCATCGGCTCCACCCTGCAGAACAAGTCCCTCTGGGAGAGAGGTGTAGACGCACGAGTTTGGCCCGGTAAAAAAAAAAAAAAGCAATGCTTTGGTACGACAACACGCTCAAACGGTATCACTTGCATGGTGCTTTATCAAACCTAGAGGACACAGATGCGCTCCACGCTACTTTCAGTCATTCACACGCCGATGACAGTAAGATACTTTATAGACACGAGGACAAAACATGGACTTGAACCGACAACCCACCGGTTACAGGATGAACCCCTGTCACTGTCGTTTCATAACGCCCGGGTCATCACATACTGACTCCCAAATCATGATTTATGGATCTGCAAGACCTTCTAAACTAAGACAATATGGAGACTTTTTAGAAAACTTTAAATCTTTACATCTGTTTGTGTACATTTCAAGCCCTGACCGTAGAAATGGGTGAAGCAATGATATTTGATTATAAAAAAGAAAAATAAGGGCAAGCAAGCCACCTACTACGGCAGAAACATCATGACTGTAGGGTGTAGTGTACGTTCCAAGTATTGGTGTTCTGTGCGTTTGTTTGCTCATTTGAATTGAATTTTTTTCCTTGCTTTTCTACAGGAAACCTGTTTTTATGTGGTGGGGCTCTAACGGTCGCTGGTTTATAGAGATGAGTTCTCGAGAAACCAGCAACCGTTTCTAGAGATGTCTTCAGCAGATATCTGCTGCCAAATATATATCTCATATCTGCGGCCGCAGATTTGAGATATCAGCTACTGAAGTGACAACACTAAAAAAATTTTAAGATGAGCAAATATTTTTATTGGCAAATTCAGATAAGGCATAGGCAAATTCAGGAAAAGAAGATCTCTACTGGTTTAAACATGCATACCAATCACATTCCAGGGTATGCAGGTTATACATCAAAGCAATGTCCAACACAGGGTCTGAAATGGTTAAAATCTGCTGGCTAAAGAAAGATGTTAAAGAAACGTTTAAAAAGCTCCTCTAGAAAAAAATTTTCATTAAGTCTTTTTCAATAAGAAGAAATATTTCATTTCCCATCAAAAGGGATTGTAAATTACACTGAAAGCTTGACCATGCATTAAAATGTAATGAGCAGGAAATGAAGGACTGAATTTCCAGTTTTCGAATAGTCGTGACTTTATGATTTTATAAATTATGTAATGTCTACCAGTGCAATGCATTTATTGTGTCTTCTTGGTTTATTAGCCTGTAAAACTGGGGAGTAGAAGCTACTGAGAAATGACAAAACGTTCCAAAATTAGGAATCCTACAGCCGCTATTGTTTCAGCTCTTAGTACTTAAAAATGCTGGAGTGAGTGGGATTCCTTTCCTCTTCAATTTCTAAGAGGGAAGTAATAGGGGCAAGTGAAGGTTAAAATGCAGATAGAGAGCATGGAAAGTCAAAAATACCAGAAAGATGGAGGGAAGACAGGAAGAAAAAAAGAGGGGTGAGCCGTGTCATTGATGAGAGAATGTCATTCTCAAGGGAAGATGCATCTAAATCCATCAGTCTGCTAACTCTAGCAGCAGGCCACTGAAAGGCTGACAGATCTGCCATATTCATACAGCAAATATGTCGCAACTGTCTATCAAACCTGATAAAATGGTTTAACTCAATCATAAACATGCCCCGGGGCCTGCGAACACAAAAAAGAAGAAAAGGTTGGATATGTGCCCTTTTCAGCTGACAAATCTTCTGACCTATAACAATGTTAGTGTAGAGTTATTGTGCATTTCATAAGCAGATAGCTAATTTATTTTTGGTCAGAGAACTGCCAACATGGTTGCTAAACAATCTCTGTATTTGTGAGTTACTGAAACTTATCAGTTGATAATTTTTCTTTTCTTTACGGGTCCTTAATGAGTCATTAAGGACAGAAAAAAAAGTGCAGATTTGGATTTCTGTAATATAGTTTGTTGACTGTTATATGAAATTATTATGTTGATTGCAATGTGCTTTCACCCTAAAACAAAACAAAAAAAATCTTGCTGTGCATCGAGTTATATATAAATATGTTTTGATGAGCCCCACTGTGTCATTAACATTATGCAAATTGTAATTAGGAAAAGTGAAGGTAACATTGAACATAACATTTTGAAAACGGTGAGGTAACATTGCAGCTCAAATGACTGACAGCAGATAAATACTAAAGGGTTTAATAGCAAGTAATAATAGACACTGACATAAATGATCAAGAATATATATTTTTTTATTTGTAAGGAGATCGTTAGGAAGACAAAACAAATCCTATTTATGAGGTTTGTAAGTGAAGAGCAGAATAATTTGACTTGAAAGATGAAAAGAATTAGTCTGAACTGATGATAAGTGTGATTAACTTCAAATACGCAGACGTCACACAGTGGTAATGGGACGTGTCCTGTGCTGATGGCTTCCTCCCTACGAAAATGGAACTGGCCCCGGCCTAAACAAATAATCAGAGACAGACTGTAATGAAGAGAGCTTCATTACTGGGTCTATTTTTACTTAAGTCACTGTATAGCACTTTAAAAGCACTTTTTGCACTTTATTAACAAGCACTTTATTTAGCACTGCACTTTAAGCAGAGATTTGCGCATAAATAATTTGCACACGAGAAGTTTTAATTGTATTTATTGAATATTTTAGTAATTAGCATGTAGCCTTTTGTTCTGGGCTCTGCACAGCTGCTCCTCATTGACAAGTGAGCTAGTTGCCTGTGGAGGGAGGATAATTGTTACTCAGAGCAATGAGCTACTGGTGGGTAAAATTGAACAAATGTTTGTGCATAATCTGTTAGGTGTGGAGTGCTGATATTAAGTGACTCACCTGTCTTTTATGTGTCCTCTCCAGGGTGTTTGGACAAATACAACCCCGGGGGTCCAGACACCATTTATAGGTTCGGGAGAGGCCATTGAAAAGTGTGGGGAGATAATTGTTTATGGGTTTTTTGTGGTGTTTCATTTGGTGTAAGATAAAATATAAAATATTTATAAAAAGTAAATTTAAATGTTTATATTTAATAAAGTGTATTTTATTTAAATAGGTGGAGATTTGTTAAGTGAGATCTCCCTGTGAATTGGAGGTGGTTGGGTCCAACACAGCTGAGACTATTTAAGCCTGTGGTTTCACCTGTGTGGAAAAAAAAGGATTGAGTGTGAGTGTGAGTGTGTGTTGATGCTGTGAAGAGAATAAACCAGCTGCTGTTTTCACCTGACTCTACCTCTCGAAATCTTCTTCACCGTAAAATCCAGCCGCAACCGGCCGCCCTGTTACACAGACCTCTCTGTCCTGCCATTCAGCAACAGAACAATCAAACACACAACCAGGCATATTTGTTTAGATCTGTCATCTACTCTCCTCCAACACCCCCAACCCCATTTAAGGAAAAAAAAACACTTTCTCAACCCATCACTTTCTGCAAATTGCTTTGTTTTTGCACCATTCTTTTTTTTTTTTTTTGCTCAATAATTATTTTCTTTGTGTGTCGTTGTCCATTTACGATGCTTGTGTGAAGAGCTGCGGTGCCGACCAAACAAAATATCTTTTATGTATCTTCTGACGAATCCCAGTCAATTGTTATCAACCATTAAATCACCCGCTGAAGCAAATGAAATTTCAGACCAACTTTATTACAGCTTTTGTCGAGCCGTAAAAATGAAATGCGGCGTGTTGTTGATTGTGTGGACAGAAACAGGAATAAAAATAGATTTATACTGAAATACATTCATACTGGTCTGTAGTTCTCGGTATTGCCAAGAGCTGTTTATCGTAAACGTTCCCAGACAGTGACAGCAGTACTCTGCAAGCCTTTAATTTCTCAAAGCACAGCAGGGAAATAATTTCACCTGCTGAAAAGTCTGTGTGGCCCAAGAGAAATTTGTCAAGTTTAAAAATCAAGCGTACAGGATCCGGCTGGCTCCGAAGTCAATGCTATATATACTATCCATTCCAACGTACCGTGATCATGTAGTCAGAATCAAATTAAATCATTTTAATTGGAACAAAGCTCTTAATGAAGCCGATTACATCAAACCGTTGATTTCGCAGTAATCCACAATTCTGATCAAGCACGTGGTGATAGTGGACAGAAACTCCCTTTTTAATCCTTTTAAACGTTTACCTGGTTCAGCAGGAGAAGCCGCCTGCTTTGACTAACTGGGGATTGAGAGTGACCGAAAAAAAAAACAACAAAAAACTACCACAAAGGCACTGGTCCTGGATTAGCTTTGCAACTTAATTGCATCGAGACAGGAGCACAAAGACACACAACTCTACTTCACAAAGTTAATTCATGGAAAACGAAAACAAAGCGAGCGCACATAGTTAGTCCCATCACCAGGTTTGTAGGCTTTATGAGGAAATGTCTCTTTGACAAAAACATTTTTTTTTTGTCATAAACCACTCGTCTTTGAGTGAGTCCACAAACCACAAGTGAAGTCGGTGGCACCCTGCACAGCTTTAAGTTTTCAAAAAAAAAAAAAAAGCAAGAATGCGAACCATCTGCAAAAGAGGAGACAATTCATCACAGAAGCACTGAACCAGCACAACACAATGAGTACACAAGGTTACTGCAATATGACATAAAATGATTTTTTTTTTTACTGGAAAATCCCTTTGTGGTTGTTCCATTTTCAGAGGAAATTGGAAGTTGATGCATTTTTGCAAGTTACTGCAGTCTGCGGTAGTACTTGTGGGTTTCCTCATGAGGACCTAAGGCAGGAGATTTTCTTAAATGTCAGTCCATCTTTTATAATTCGGTGCTTTTTACATTGCGCAGCAATCGAAACCACACTTAGATGTAGAAACTGCGTCATGTACTGGGAGGCTGAGTTTTTTTTTGTTTTTTTTTTTTTGTTTTTTTCTGACAGAGTGAGTATTCACTAGAGCCAAAGCGAATCTGATCTTTGTTTTCACAGAAAGTCAAAGTTGCTGTTTTAAAACATCACTGGACAATTTAGTCTTGTCTTTTGCTATATCACACGAGTGAAAGCTTAAGAAGGAAGATAGAGCTATGACGGTAGCAGAAAGACAAACAGGTCCAAGGTTACATGGACACGAAAGTAGCAGAAAAGCCTGAGAGGGAGGATGGGGAAGGAAAAA